TGCTGGTGCTGGTGCTGGTGCTGGTGCTGGTGCTGGTGCTGGTGCTGGTGCTGGTGCTGGTGCTGATGTAGATGATACCTCTAACTGACCCAATAATGTCTTTAAAGTCTCAAACGACAGAGCTTGCGGGTCTACCTTGACTTTCTGCTCAAGGATATTAAGGCGATCGTGTAGAGCAGGAGTGAATATGTTTTTATAAAATAAGGCGAATTGTGCATGTAGAGCCTGAGTCCGTCGTAAGACCCTGCATTGGTAGTTCCATAAGGTAGCACTTACAGGCCATTGCTGCCGCGCAACAATATCAAAATATGGTCCTGTTCCAGCCATGATTAGACTAAATGAGAAGGAGAAGCTGTGTTGGATTGGGGCGGTCGGAGCTCTTTAGCTGGGGTGAAGCCGCTCTTGGCAACAAAGCATGCGACCTGCCCGTGCCGCGTTGTCGCATACCAATAGCCAATAATATGCTGCGTGCGCCCTTTGAGTGTTGGAGAAAGACCCACAGTCTGCAGGTCTATTACAGGGGTCGGGACCTAGCAACGCGTTTGTATTTCTTTGTTCGAATTGCGCTACTAGGAAATTTCGTGCTATTCTTTTCTAAAATGACAATGACATTGCTCTCCCACCAGCAGGGGTTACATTTCAAAGATGTGTAGTTAGGCCTACCTGATAATTAACGTATACCATTTCGCTAATAATGTGGGACAATTCCACGTGCTATGAGGAGCTCCATGAAGGGCAGTCTCACGATGCGGGGGCTTGCATACTTAGGGGGTGTTTCAAACTTCAGGTGGAGGTCGTTTTTTGACCTTTTTTGACCTTTTGACCTCTAGTACCCCCAAGTGTTTGAAATCTCATTCCACCTCCAGCTTAAAACCCGAGCTGAGGACAAGGATTCGATTTCGCGTATACTTCGGTAAATCTAATAGATTCATGCAACAGATATGCAGCACTAATTACTGTCCTGTCCTCCATAGCAGTTCCCTTCTTTCCAGTGATGGGTCGCTCCAATCGAAAGATCTTATCTAAGGCTGGCGCGCACAATGTTGATTCCACCTTGTAGTGGTCCAGTGAAGTTTGAGATAGGAGGTCTGAAATGACTGCGGGATTGCGAAAGCTAGAGAAGAGATATGAAGTTCTTATGAAGTGGATATTTGAAGCCAAGATGTTTCTTAAATTCGGTGGCTGGCTGTCCTGTCCTGAATTAAAGGGCAGCGTCGAATGCGCATCATTATTCAACACACAGTCTATGCGTCCGCCTAGGGACACCTCTTATCAGGCCTCGCGGAAGACCTCAAGATCCTCTATTGTGGCTTGGCGGAGGTGCATGATGGCGTTTTTGGTCCTTTAGATTCAAAGTCAAACTTCTCGAAGGGGCTCAACCATACTCACCGCTTGCGCTAGAGTTGCTGCCGTGTACCTCATCGGGACTAGCGCGCTTGCATGGGAGCGTTCGTGAACGAGAGACATGCACGACAACAGTGCATTCAAGGACGAAAACGGCAGCTCACACATTGCATCGATCGGTTTGCGCCAATCTTGGGAATATGCTATTCAACTCTGGATCAGCCTGGCATGCCCCCCAAGCACCCCCCGTTCGAGCCATGTAACGACATCTCTGAGGATACCACCAGCTTCTCCTCCCTTGCCACCAATGTTCTGACAAATCTGCTAACACAAAGCCGCAAAGATGATGAAAAATATGCCGAACGAGAGCGCGAGCGCACCAGGAGTTTCTTCTCTTTAAAAGAACTTTATAAGAATAAAATAAACTTATAGAAGGATAGAGATATATCTAATTAATTATTATATCTACTTTTAAAGCTCTTGTAGACTTAGAATAGACGTAAAAGTAGAAAGAGCTCTCGGTATAATGATGGGGGAGAGAACACGCGTGTGCTAGTGCTAGCGACTCAGTAGCCGAAATGCCAAGAGTGGCCTTAAAACTTGACCGCCCATAGAATAACGGAGAGATTTTTCCCCGCTTCGACTACCGATAAATAGAGCCACGCTATAGGCTGGTACAGCTTTGCCATCGCCTATTGGCTAATTATTCATCGATTCTAGCCTGCTTAAAAGGCGCTTTCCGTTCTGGGTGCGACCAGGTCGCACCCAGAACGGAATAGCGTTCTTTGCAGAATGAAACGCTCCTTCATTAAGATCTCTTTCATTATACTGTAATGGTAATAATTCTGTTGAACCCAGCGTGGTTAGGAGTAACCTCTAGCTGCATATGCTTGCTCTTCTCTCCGCGCTCTTCTACTTTTGTTTTTCACGGACCAGTGAGCCCAACACTATGAAGATATCTTGCCTGTTCTGTATCACCTCTGCTATTAGCGCCATAGCTTGGAGTTGGTATACTCTGAACGACCGTCAGAAGCACCCCCATAACGATCCTTTTCAAAATTTAACGATTCTCGCGTGGTCCCTTTGACTTACGGGCTCATCTGGCGCATCCTGCGAAGTAGCTTCCCCATATTACAATTAAATCCCGAGTCTAATAAATTACAGGCCTTAACACTTCACGTTCACGTTCACGTTCGCGCTCTCCGCCTCGCTCATCCATCGTCACATTCGCGTCGGTTGCTTCCCTCTTTCTCGCCACGCGGACTTCTCTCGCGCTCGCGGTGTCGGCTGGACTTGCTATCACGGCCATCTCGTCGGCTGGCACAACCTTCGTTGCGCTCATCTTGAGAGCCTACTATCCCGATCGATAATAATGGGAAGATCGAGCAGACAAGTG